AGGCTGGCCCGTGCTGCTGGCGCGTCGGAAGGGCTGAACTACAGACGGCACACAGCCCCGGCAGCTGCTGGCAGTGGTACGAGTGGCACCAAAACCCCGTGCGCCATGCCAGAGGCGCAGCTCCTGACTGACGTAGCCAGGCGCTCAAGCAGCTGGCCTGGAAAAGGGGGATTAGGCCAGGAGTTAACCCCACACCTCCTGCCAACATTTTGGAAGAGCAGCAAGCACAGCAAGGAGCATTTGGAAGTGGACCCAGGGCCCCTCTCCCTTTCCATCCCCAGCCCTCTGCTCAAGCTCTCCAGCCCGGAGGAGACACCCGGAGCCCCACAGGGCACTCGGGATTCTGGAGGAGGAAGGTGTTAGGTGAGCGCCTGGAAGTGTGGTGGAAAGGGCTGAGAGGCTGGCTGCGGAGACCATCCCTCCCACCGAACGCAGCAGGAGCGGCGCAGCAGCCACCCAACTGGTGCCGGTCATTCAGCTCTGAGCCCACAGCACGGGAAGCAGCTGCACCCCTCGCTGTCCCAAGACACTAACCTGAGAGAGGAAGGGCAAGCCGAGTCTGCCTCCGTTTAGCTGGATCTGTTTCTCCAGGTGATAAAGCCACTGCTTCAGCTCTGACTCAGTAGGGCAGAACACGATAAGGGGGGTCAGCAGAGGACCTAGGTATGCGAGACACAAGGTGAGCTAAGCAGATAAGGGCACCAACGAGTAATCAGCTGGCCAGAGCTGTAATGCTCGGCACATCACACCGTGGGCTGCCTGTGAGTGCATTGCTCTCCTGACACCATGCCCCAGTCCTCCCCGCCACTGCCTTCAGCGCCTTGCCTCACACCAGGCTGCTGGGGAGCCCCTCGGCAGGGTCTGCTCCAGCACCTTCGCACCGCCTGCTCGTGCAGCCGCGTCCAGCTCTGACCACCAGTCCCTCTTCAGCCCAAAACCAGGCCAAGAACAAAAATCAAAGACGATACAAAACTCAAGACTGAAATCAACAGACAGGTATCAGCTTTAGAAGTCCCCAACAATTTGTGAAAAGCGGGCAGAGACTGTCACAACGTGCTGCTGCAGATAGCCTAACTCAATGCAAAGTTTAATGCTATTTCTTAGTTTCGCTTTGACATTCAATATGTAAAACACCAGTAGCTTTCTGACACTATTTATTTATTTATTGTTTCACCAAATACAATCTGTGCCAGACAAGCTGAAGCTGCTCTCAGACACTCTTGCGGGGAGGAACAGCCCTGTACCTTGTTGATTTTATGCTTCCAGCTATCACGTGCTCATTGCACGAGCAAGAAAGTCTCACACACCCTCTGCTACTCGCTACAGACATAACCGAGTGATGTCAATAATAATTTCTGTCAGGCCGCAGAATGTATGTTAGGATTAATAATTTACTGGTGATCTCATATTAAACCATACTTGGTTCATGATCAGTAATCTGGCTTTGTGAGACTTGGAAGTATTCAGATAAGCAAGTGCACTGGATAAGCATGATACTTTGCCCTTCTGTGAAGCCTTTCATCCTTAATTCCTGCGTTATTTATGAGCAACAGTTAACTGAGACTTTGAAACAACTCTGTCAGGAAACGCACTGATACAGACAAAGCAGAGGTGGGGAAACTGAGGCAGAGACTTCCTGAGTGACTTTCCATAAGTCACTCCATTCAGACTCATTACAGTAATTAGGTGTCGAGCATTACTGGGCATCCAGTAATGTACCATTGTGGCTCTGGAGCTCTCGTCTCCTCTTGCCTCGGTTTCCCTGTCTGTGCAGTGGAGATGGAGTGATTCCCTACTTTATAGAGTTGCTAGGAGGGTATAAAGGTGCTAACGTTTTCTAGCTATTCTGGCTGCTCCGAGTTCTTCTCTGGGCATCCAGGCCCTTACACAAACAACAGGAATCTTTCTGGCAGGGCATGACCCTTAGCATGGCGCTGCCTGCTCTGCCGCCTCCTCTCAGGCCAGCCTTTCAGACGTGTCCCGAGGGCTGCTTGCGCTGCCACATCTAAACGGGGGCCCAAAGGAAAAGAAAACAAGAAGGGAAACTCGTGCCTGAGCCTGAAGCCTGAGACATGCCCGAAACTCGTGCAAGTTGCTGCTGGGGAAGCCGTGAAGCAGAGCCTGAAAGGCTGCTCCTAATTCAGTCGCTGCCATTTCCCGCAGCCCCAAGGGCACGTTTGCGGCGGGGCCATGACACAGCCATGCTGAGCAACCTGCGCCCGCCCTCGTGCTCTTTTCTCTGCCCTGTCCTTCCTCTTTCCTTGCGAATGCTTCCAGAGGAACACTGGAAGCAAGAAAGCCCCTTCCCGGAGAAGCAGCAGTTTATTCCCACCCAAATCTCTCTGTTCGGTGGCACTGAAGAGCTGCAGCATTTGCAGGTGAGGCAGAGGTCACTCAAGGCGCTCAACAACCTCATCAGCATCAGGGGCCGTGCAAGAGATGGCCCACAAGGCCGAGGTGACGGTCCCCAGCCGCCCTCCACTTCTCCGTGCCAGCGCACCGAGGGGCGGCTCTGCACGCTGCCGGGCTTCGTCCTCACGCTCTGCCTCCACGCTCCGGTGACGGTGCCAGCGCCTTTTGACGGACTGAGCTACCCTAGAAAGTGCAGTTCATGGGGAACCACTGACGCCCCAGGGTTTCACAAGAGAACGGGTGCCTGCCTTTTGTGTCTCAGAGTCAGGAGGTAAAAGACTTCCACCCTCACCCTGTGTGGCCACAGACGAGGCTCTTATTCCCTCCGCGTCTTGATTTCTCCCTTTCTAGCAGAAAAATAAAACTGCTCCACTGCTCTGCCAGCAGTCCTAAATATCGCTACCTCCCCGGTTTCTTCATGTCGCTGCTTCCTGATATGTACAGCACTCTGTCAGAACGGCCTTGGTTTGTTCTTTGCCTAAGCAGGACACAAACCCAACAAAGCTTGAGGCAATTTTCCACCCAGCCACACTCCTGCGTGTTTTAATACAAGCAGAACAAGTCCACCCACCCCAGTGCAGACGCTCCTGACAGGTTACGCCTGGGAGAAGTTTTCCTTCATTTTACGGGCTCCCAAAAAGGGTTGAAGAGCCCTGTCTAGTGCCGTGCAACAAGACCACAACTCAGTAGGCTTAAAACTGATGGGTTGTTTGTACCAGCTCCTTTTTATATTTTATGTAATTTTTTTTTGTTTGAGTGGCCATTGTATCACTTTCTCTCTAACGCAGGACACCAGAGTACATGGACAGTGGGCCTAGGACACAAATGAGCTTTCTTGGCTCTGTATTGTTACTGGGTTATTTACTTACTTTTGTGTACTTCAGGCTTTAACTACTATTCTTGAGGGCTTGTGGCTGCTGTAATTCAGCAATGACTAAGCCCAAAGAAGGCTCCAGCCAAGCTGCAGTCAGATTGTTATCCCAGGAAAACTTTTATAAAGCAAGATCACTCAGAGAAAAGTTTAAAAAGCTTGTGGAGGCAGAAGTGCTGGTGGGGGAAGAGTTGGTGAAGTGACATTGGGTCCTGATAGCACCGGCCTGGCATTATTGGTAAAGACAACTTGCCTCTTGGCACTGTTGCCCATCCTGTGTACTTCAGCAGAGCCATACATCAGCACACGCTGTGCTGTATGTGTGCCTGCTTGGAGGCACTCCCTGGCCTCGGGGTTTATATGGCAACGAAAGGTGGGAGAAGGAGTTGTATTCACAGGATCATTAAGGTTAGAAAAGACCTTTAAGATCATCAACCCAACACCACCATGCCCGCTAAACCATGTCCTGAAGTGCCACGTCTACACATTTTTCGAACAATTCCAGTGATGGTGACTCCACCACCTCCCTGGGCAACCTGTTCCAATGTTTGACCACTCTCTTGGTAAAGAAGTTTTTCCTAATATCTAGTCTAAACCTCCCCTGGCACAACTTGAGGCCATTTCCTCTTCTTGGCGTATTCCATTCCTTCGTTCAAATGTGGTGCACAAAGAGCAAATGATCGGGTGGGAACTGTCACCATGAGTCCTGACTGCTGACCAGATGGAGCGCAGGGCCATCCTTCCTCTGTGCTCCCTATCCAGTCCCCTCCCTGCCTGCAGCCCTGGGCATCACTGTCCGGGTGTTTAGGGGCAGGGAGGCCCTGGAGGGAAAGATGCAAATGCTGGGAGGAAGAGCTTCAGCTCCCTGCAACCTCTTTCCACAATGTGGTTCTTTTCTGGGACTAGGTCAGAGCGGGACAAAAAGCAGAGACAGTGATTCATACACCCGCCGGTCTCTGTTTAAAGCAAATGAAGAAGCACCAACCTGCAATGCGGAAAGCGTGATCCTCCTGCCCAGTGCTCTTCCCATGCTCAATTTCACACACATTCAGCTCTTTCAAAGGCAGCAGTCCCTGCATAAGAAGAATACACCATTATTTGGGGGGGCAGCCTGCAGGCAGGCTCTCCAATTAATGCCCTTTGCCGTCGGAGACTGGAAATCCAGACTCGGCACCAGCAGGTTGCCGTGGCTCAGCGTTAGACGGCAAAACATTGCTCTGAGGGGAAAGGTTTGGGACGCCAACGCAGCACACTCCCCAGAGGAAACAGGTCCCGCAGTACTGCAGTAATCATCTGCCATGCTGGCAAGAACAATTTCTTCATATTCCAAGTCTTTCAGTTTTAAGAGAAACCTCAAAAAAACATTGCTGGGTTAACACAAGAAAGCCGGAAGATGGAAATGACCATAAAGCAAAACTGAGCTGTCCGGTTTCTATCCTCCAGTTCATCAGAGTCCCACTATAACAAAGCACAGGAACAGATGATAAATTTGAGCTCCCTGTCTTGTGCTTTCTAAACAAGGACTCTAAAAGATGCTAATGGCTGCAAAGTCTAGGGGCCAGTACTGGCACATTAATTCCTTTTTAATTCCACTAGAATTAATAATCTAAGGAACTGCTTATAAAGTAGATGAGAGATTTTGTAATATCGTTTGTATTCTGACGCGTGTCTTTCCAGTTGAGGGCTGGCTTGCTGGATGACTCAAGATTGTATAGGCATATTGCATTAACCTCAAGTCACCTAGAAGAAAATAAGTCATTTCTGAAAGGAACAAATTTTGTGAACATGTACAAAACAGCCATGCTCAGTTTTAGTTACACACTCACGCAGAGGAAGAGCACATTCAAGGTTTCCTGTTTGTTCGGCTGCGATTTTTTGGCTGCATGTGCAAAACAGCCTATCGTCAGGCTTCGTCAGGTTAGAAGGTCGATGAATGGTTTGCCAGGATAGCTCCCCAAGGCTGCCCTCACGTTTTTCTTCCCACCCTCTCCCACATGCCTCTTTCTCTGCCCTGCAGATGAAGAACTGCCCCGCGGTTCAGAAGCCAGGGCCGAGTCCCCCGTTTGCGCCGAGGTCAGTGGGATTTTGAGCGACAGAGCTCTGACCCTTACCAAGGCACAGCGCTCTGTGCTTGGTGCTCTACACAGAGATAAGTCCAGGTAGCCTAAACACCCTCCACCCCTGGTCCTGCCTGCCCGCGCTGCCTGAGCCCCTATCCCACCTCTGTGGGGTCCTTTATCTCTCCCCACAGACAAGGCCAAGGGCGCAGGTAGCACTGGGGCTGTCGGGGTACAGTCCTGAGGAAGAGAGGCTCTCTTTCCCCAGGAGCTTGGCATCCATGGGAAGGGACTTGCTGAGACCACCTAGGGGAGGCCAGTGGCAGCCCCAGGAGCAGAGCCCCTGTCCCGTCCTGTCCTGCCCCATCCACCCAGTGCCCCCAGCTTGGCCGTACCGCCCCGGCGCTTGCCCCGGTGTGTCCGGGAGATGCCCTACCTGGTAGGTGAGTCCGTTGGAGCCCATAGACTGGAAGTACAGGTAAGACTGGAACAGCTCCAAGAAGCAGTCATTCACCTCCTGCAGAGAAGACACATTTTGGGGTTTCTCTCAGGACACCTTCCTCCTCCCAGCTTCCCTCTGCATCTCAGGCTGATCTGTGCACAGAAAAGCCAGTGGTAGCTTATCCAAGGGTCACCACTGCATCTCTCCTGGTGGATCTGCCGCCAGCCTGGCAGCTGAGCACGGAAGCAGGACCCAGGTCCCTGCTGGGATGGGAGCCGGTGGGTGCCGGCCGGTACCCATGCACCTTGTGGCAGCAGAAGTCCCTGGGCCACGCAGTAGCCCGAGGAAGTCTCCGTGAGTCACATTTCCCAGAATCACACTTTATTTCTCAGTCCTGCAGGGTCGTGCCTGGGAAGAGAAATGCCCACAAACAGGCGCCGCAGCTTACCTGGCAGTGCTGAAACTTAAACTTGACCTTGGAGTAATAGATCATTTTCCCCAGGTTCCTCACAACTGTTTTCCTGCGGCCCTTCTTGAAGAGGCTGGGGAACCTCTGGTCCAAGTTTTCTTTCTGGTTTTCCTGGTTCTGAATATTCTGTACCAAGGATTCAGGAAAAACAAATCAGAGCCAGTGGGAGGTGGCAGCATGATGTCTGGAAAAGACATTCCCAGAACACCTTCCCAGAAGGGCTTCCTCGGAAAGGCGCCCTGGCAGGCGCCCAGGCCGGGCTGTTTATTGTTGGGTCTCCATGCCAGCGTGGAGCTGGGGTTCGGTTACTGCGGGGAGGCTGTCCTCTCTAGGCAGGGAGAGATGCTGACCTAAAGGGAGGTTTTCTGGGTCGGGAAAGAGGAGGTGCAGAAGCCCATCCTACATTTAGGGTCTCCCAACTCCATGATGACCTCCTGCCATCCTAATCAAATTCACTGGAACAAGAACCAACCAAGGCTAAGCAAACCTGGCTTGCCTTCCACTGAGGTTAGTGGAAAGGTTTTCTTTGCTCTAGTTCCACCTGGATTCCTCAGCTCTCCCATCTGCTCAGATCCCTTCGTTTCTCTAGGCGGAGTTTGTTGTTTCAGACACTTTTGAGGCAGAGTCCCACAGTCATAAAAGCAGCTGCAAGGCATTGAGTCGTGAAGCTGCTCATTGTCAGCGCAAAAAGCTACGGCAAGCCAGCAAGCACCGGGGGAGAGCAAGGGCTGACGTGAGAGGGAGATAGCACTCGGGGCTGGGGGTTCTCTTATCTCCTGCGTTCTGATTACACAGAAATTCTTCCTTCTGTGCCGCGGCACCAACGCACGCCCTACGGCACTCCGCTGCTCACAGCCTGGGGCTGCTGTTGCACTGTCTAGATACCGCATAAATCCCGGGGTGAAAAGCTCTCCCTGCAGTTCCTCTGGGAAGAAAGTTTTATCTGGGGGTTGGTTGATTGACTTGGGGAGAAGGAGAGGGCTGTGTCCCCGCGAGGCCACGGGCACCGCTGATTCCCCCCAGGTCTACACCCCACCTGCGTATCTCAGTCTGAAGTGTCAGCTTTGTTAGACGTGCCACAGACGCTGGGATATTAATTCCCAAGCACAAGAGAAAGGCGGGCGGGAGACGCGAGGCCTGCCCCGCTGCTC